AACAGTTAAATTTTTTTGTTATAAAAAATTTTATCAAATATTTTTATTTAATTAAAATTTTTTAATTATTTTAATATATTAAATTTTTATTTAAAATTTAAATTTAAAAAATCAAAAAATTAAATTCAATCCACTAAAAATCAATAAAGAGAGTACTTCTTTTTGTCTAATATTAATTGTTTTTTTTATTTTAAATTTTTTTAAAAATTAATTGTCATTTTCTTATTTATAGACAAATACTTTATTTCTTCTTTAACTTTATTATTATTTTTTATTTTAACTTTATTATTTTCTATTTACCTTAATTAATTATTCTACCAAAAAAATGTTTATTTTTATCTTTTATTTTGTTTTTAAAAATAATATCTATCTTTATCTTTTATAAATAAACACATAAATTATCTCAATACTAAGTTTTAAAAAAAAAATGTGAGAGTTATTTTGAAATAGAGAATAATTTCAAGTAATAAATTTATTATAGGAAGATAGATAATAATGGATGATTATTTTTAGAAATTTTTAATATGTGGGCGCGCAAGTGTTTACTATACTTTTTATTATTAATTTGTACAAAAAGTAAAATGTTAATTTTACTAATTATTTAATTAAAATATTTTATATGATGTTTTATATGATATTGATTATTAAAAATAAATTTATTTAATATTTTTTATACAAATTAATAGTAAAATATTATATTATAAATACATTCCTAATTTGTTATAACTTAAAAAAGCATTATTTTTATGGCTTACTTCTTTTATTTATTTTCAATAAATTTAGTTTGAATTTTTAATTTTTTAAATATATATTTTAAATAAAAATTTAATAATTTATATAGATAATAATTTAAAAAATTTTGTTTCTGAATAAAATTTTTGTTTAATATTTTTATTTAATAAAAAAATTTAATTATTATTTATCTATATATAAAATTTTTATCTAAAGTTTTTTCTAGAAAATTAAAAAATTAAATTAAAACTATTAAAGATGACGGAGCGAGTAGAACCACTACGGTAAACCCAAAACAACTTCAAATCTAGGGAAAAGACCAAATAGCCTAAGATTAAAGAATATTCTGTACCGGTCCGACTTCGATCCAAACTCCTCTGCGCTCCACCCCAGAGCTAGAGAGTACAGTGAAACAAACAAGGAAAAGAGCTTGAATGGTTCTTCTTTCTCACCCACCATTTAAGACCAAACCCAAATGCGTGTTTAGTAAGCCATTTCCTTCATCTTCACTCCATCACCACGCTTAACCAAACCCTATATCTTCATTCATTACTCCTTTTGACACTCCACTGTATTTTACACGCTTGGGACGTTTAATCAAAGACCTATTTCCAGATCTGATTGATATTGTCCAATCCCATTTCAAGTTCTGATTTTTATAAGATACCCATTTCTGTTTTCTCATTGCCCACAGTTGTTTCCAGTCTGATCGGATAATTCACTTGTGGGTTTTGATTCCAACTGTGAAACGGAATTGTACCTTGTTTGGGTTGATTATGAGAGATTTTGTTTGTCATTTTATGCGATCTGCTTGAAAACTATATGGGTTTTGGATGTTGGAATTTTGCTGTTATTTAGATCCGGACTTGGGATATTTGTATATGTTGTCGTTGTAGTTGGGTGTCTGTGATTTGGTGCTTTATTGATGACAATGGCATCGGGTAATCTGGTTTTATCAGACAAAATTCAGTTTCCCACTGCTGTCAGTTCTGGCGGTGGTGGTGTTGGTGGGGTCAGCGGTGGAGAGATCCACCAGCACCACCCTCATCAGTGGTTCGTTGATGAGCGTGACAGCTTCATTTCATGGTTGCGTTGGGAATTCGCAGCTGCCAATGCAATTATTGACTCCCTCTGTCATCATTTGTGTATTGTTGGTGAACCAGGGGAATATGATGCAGTGTTAAATTGCATTCAGCAGAGGAGGTGCAATTGGAACTCGGTGTTGCATCTGCAACAGTTTTCTTCTGTGGCTGAAGTTACCTACGCGTTGCAGCAGGTTACTTTTAGGAGGCAACAGACACAGAGGAGTTTTGATCAGGTGAAAGGTGGAGGTAAGGAGTTTAAGAGAACTGGAATGGGGTTTAAACAAGTGCAGAAGTTTGAGGTAGTGAAAGAAGCACAGAAATCTGGCGCAGAAGGTGATGGGAATTCTGGCATTGTGGGTCTGGGGACAAATGAGCCCGGGAGTGAGAAGCAGGAGTTCAAGTCTGGTGGGGATGTGTTCAAGGTAAAAGACAATGGTTCACCTGCTACGGAGGACAAAAAGGGTCAGTACTTGGTTTATGTTTCTCTTAGCCTGTTTGCATGTATCCTGGATAATGATAACTTACTTAGTGAATGCTTTCCAATTAATATCTTCTTATGTTGGTTTATGCTAAGTGGTAGTCTTAGAGATGATTGAAATTTGCAATTCTGATAGATTTGATGTTGATATTAAGGACTTAGGAATGCGTTAGTTGCTTATAGAGCATAATTTTGCTATATATATATTTTTTGTTCTTGATTAGTTAAACTTTCCATAACTGGAAAGGACCGTTTTTTGGATAATTTGTTGTGCCTTGTGGAAGTTTAATGCAAGCTTGGCTATTATTATTCAGAAATTTCAATCATATTCTTCATAATTTATCTTCTTGACCTTTTTCAAGCCAAATAATTATAAGTTTATAACACTAAATATAATGGGATGGTTTGTTTTAATGATTGGAATATGCTTCCATTCATCCATTTTATTTTCATTCAAGAGATACATGGGTGGAGATGAAAATTCACCTATAAGCTTTCAGTAGCAGATCCACTATGAGATGACATTTTACTCAAATACTAACTTTGCTTCTGAAACTACCTGTTTGAGAAGTAATTTAATACTTTTGGTGATCCTTTATATGGTTATATAATAATAATTGTCATGCACACGTCTTTCTCTTCTGTATTTTGCTAATTATAATTGAAGCTCTGTTTTGGAAAGCATATCTGTACAGAAGGCTGACATTCCTTCTATGATAAAACCGTTGGCATTCTCCAATAATGATTTTAAGTTTCCTTCTGATGAGATTTCTTTCATAAACTTTCCTGTTTCCATTGTTTTTTGACTATGCTACTTTGGACAATTACTAAAGGTTTCAGAATTTTAGTTGACATAATATATTCATGTTTTACAACTATTTCTTGAGATTTACACCTTTTTTTCTTTCGTATTTAAGCAGATGCTACTCCAAAACCTCAAGCTGATATTGGCTTGAAGAAATCGAGAAGTTTTAAAGGATCTTTATCTGGCAATTTAGAAGCTGCCACTGAAGTAGTAAATGATGGAACCCCTTCAAGTGGTAGACGTACATTCTTTTCCATGGATAATGACATTAGAAAAAATTCTAGGGTTGGCTAAGAATATGATTTATTTTATTTTGCATTTTATTTTTACTTTTTGCTATAGTCTAGGCATACATTGTGTGGATTTGGATTATGTGTCGAGACTGGTATGTGTCCATTTGTGGGTTCACCCTTTTTGTTTGGCCTAGACAGGGTTTTGTATGTATGACATGTCAACGAAGTGCCAGACTTGGGGTAGCTAGGGTAAAATGAAGATTTCTTGCCACATAGGTTTAGTAGCATCTGCTTATAAGTTTTTCTAATCTAATGCCAGAGCTTGTAGTCTTGTTGATGTAATAGTTATCTTGGGAGGGAATACATAAACAATAAATAGGGTGGAATTTTAAGTTTTTCTTTTTAGCAACTCAATAGTTATCTTGGGAGGGAATGCATAAACAATAAATAGGGTGGAATTTTAAGTTTTTTTTTTAGCAACTCTTAGCTGATCCCAAGCAATGCCAACCCTGTTACTTTTTCTGGATTGGGTGCTTGAAAGCTCCTATAGTAATTTCAAGTATTGGAATTAAAAATAAGCATTTCAGAATCCCATATTCCCATAATTTGTCAAACTTGTGCTTATTTATAATTTTTCATGGAAAAGTTTCAATTCAATGGCCTTTTGCCTGCTGCTATTAATCAGGCAGAGCCATTTAAAATGTTGTATTTTTCTTAATAAGCCTATCATCACCCACCTCAACAATCTCTACCACAATTTAGAAGAGCCACCAAAGGCCCCCAATCTAGCTAATAAATCATCCAGAAAAGGTATAAGTCACCTAAAAAGTAAAAATACAACCTGAATCAAGAAATGTATGTGGTGAACAGCCTGACACTGCTACATACCGTGATGCAAAACAAGTAATGAAGTTATAGGAGGTTGAGATTGAGAGCAAGGGAAATCAGTGATTGAGGATAGGGAAAAAGAAATTAATAGAAGTGGCTGAGGGTGTGTATAGAGTGAACCTATCTTGAAATGAAATTCCTCAACAAATGCCTTACTCAAATAGACTACACCTGTGTTGGTCAACAAAAAAAAAAAAAAAAAAAAAAAAATACTCCACCCATGACCATTTGTTCACTTTGGGCTTTACTCTTTCTTCCCTTTTTTTTTCCTGTAATGTAACTCTGTAATATCTGTAGATCTGAGGCATTTGATTTTTTCTTTGAAAATTTTTCTGTTTCGTAATTAGTTTATCAGTATTTTCTTATGTTGATATTCTTTTTTATTTTTGTTCTTGATTTTCTATTTTCTTCCAGAGGATAATGTACAAGCCGTCTCAAATCAGAATGAAAGGCAGAATCGTCCTACAGTTCCTAAAACATTTAGGGCTACAGAGGAGTTTGAGGGGAAAATGGTAAATTTTTTTGTGAAATTATAGTTCGTTTTTTAATTGATGAAACTTGTGGATAAAGTGATAGCTTCTTCAGGTTGAAGTGTATTGATTTCTAGTAAGGTAAAATGCTTTTAGTTTGTGCTCTATTATTAGGTTGACATGGCAGATGGGCTGAGATTGTATGAAGAACTGTTTGATGAGAAGGAAGTTCCAAAATTTGTTTCACTTGTAAATGATTTAAGAGCTGCAGGAAAAAGAGGAAATCTTCAAGGCAAGTTCTCTTACACATTCCATTTTCTTTTAAACCTGTAGTACTTTATAAACTGCAAGTAGTCCTTGGGAAACTCTGTGTTTCCTTGGTCATTTTGTCTGCAGAGACATTGCTTGCAAGATTCATGCCATGGTTTGTGTTTGATGTTATTCATTTCTAAGAATGCCAAGGTTATTGCTTTATGGAAACAATCAGTATAATATTGTCCATTGACAAATAAATATTTTTGCACTTGGATGACATTTGGTCTAAAATATAAATATAGTATGACATGTGGAAGTGTTTTTAAGTAGCATTAGTTTAAAACTAGCTTAGGTTTATAAGCTTTTTATTGAGTGTTATTTTATATTTGTTGAAATATTCTGATGTATAAGTTTATTTCATAAATAAAAATTATTTAATACCATTGATTTCTAGTATGAGACTAACTTGATAATAATAAAATTTCAAATCTATTTAATCTATACATGGCATACACAGGTCCCTTCTAGTGGCCTGTTGTTTAATTTTGTTCCTTCCATGGCCTTTGGAAACGCTAACGTTTTCTCTCTTTTTATATTTTTATATTTTTATATTTTTATTTTATTTTTTGGTAATGAACTAATGAAGATGCTGATTAGTTACTTCAGGTTGCGCTATCCTAATTTTTACAATTTACTATTTTTTCCCCTTTTTTTTCCTGTTTTTGATAGTAGTGGTTAATTTATCATGGAACTGTCAGGTTAAATGTATTGCATACTTAAATTTGTTGGGTTTGTACCCTCATGCCACTACTTTCTACCAGTTAGCCCATGAACCCTAGGTCATGACAATATTGGTGCCATGTTGCAGTGGTACATCAACTTTGGTGATAAGTTTCTTGCTCTAGAATAAACTTAATATACTGTTCTTGCTTAGATACATGGTTGTTGACATGTAAGGCCTACAGAATTTACTTATGTTGTTTTTAATATAGATTGATAACCACTGTATGTAAAATAAGCTCACTAGGAAGTTGAAAAGGACAAAAGTTGCTGCAAACCACCTAGGCTTATCCTTGCAGTTCTTAAAGTTTCTGGCTGAAAACAATTATCCCTTTCTGAATCATGTGACTGTTCTAGAATTTGAGACTCTAGAAATTATGAATCACAACCATGTAATTGGGGTATAACATCAAAGGGAAAAACCTTGTGGTTTTGTATAGAATGTTTCTAACACTGCATAGTGTAGTAGTTGCATCGTAAGCATATGATCATATACTTAGGATTTGGATGCAGTCTCAAATGGTAAATTCCCTTGTGTGCATTGTAAAGCAAATTTGAATTTTTACTGTTGATTTTAGATAAATTTTTTTTAATCTTTTAATATAAATATATGAAAATTTTGTACTTGTCAAAATAAAGGGGTAAGTTAATGTTTTCAGATGCAAGATTAGAATAAAATGTCAGTTTGGAATTTGAAACATGGAGTTGAACTTGGACTTTGTGCAATACAACATATTTAAAGACCAATTTCAAATACCCTCAATTTTTGGCAAAACCAAACATCATATTTTTAATTATAGATCAAAATTCAACTACCCTCAGCAAAATTCATGCTCCCAAACAGAGAATCAGTAAGCTCCCTTCATTTCATATTGTAACTTCAAGCAGTCAAGTATATATGGGGAAAATTTGGAACTAAATTCATTTTCCTGTGGGTATGTTTATCCACCTCCTGTCTAATTATCATGTCAACTGGTGGTGTTTTTCCTTTGGTATCAAACATGATTGAAAAATGCAGTACTTTTGCATGCAATAGCTAAACTTTCGTCTGATTAGAAGCAGGTCAGACATATATAGGCTCAAAAAGGCCCATGAGGGGACATGGGAGAGAGATGATTCAGTTTGGCCTTCCTATTTCTGATGCACGTCTAGATGATGAAAGTGCAGCTGGAATATCCAAAGGCATGTTCTCAGCTTACCCTCATTTCCATCCACCCCCACCCAGAAACAAAGAGAAGAATACATGAACTTGTTGACATTCTTTTTGTTTTTCAATCCTTTTCCAGTAACAGATGGTGTTGACATTCTTTCTATTTTTCAATCCTTTTACAGTAACAGATAATATCATTTTCTTTCTAATTTTACTTTTGTTGTGTTTGCTTATGAACCTAATTTTCAGATCGGAGAGTAGAAGCCATTCCTTCAATGGTGCAAGATGCCATTAGTCGTTTGGTTGGCATGCAAATTACAACTGTGAAACCAGACTGTTGTATCATTGATATCTATAATGAGGTTGATATAGATGGTGTTTCCTTTTTTATCTTCTTTTTTTTTTTCTTTTTTTCTTTTTTTTTTTTTGCGATATTACAATTATATTTTGCATGCTGATTTGTGGCAATTATCTGTAGGGGGATCATTCACAGCCTCACTTGTGGCCATCTTGGTTTGGAAAGCCAATTTGTGTGTTGTTCCTAACGGAATGTGACATTACTTTTGGAAGAGTAATTGTTGCTGATCATCCTGGCGATTATAGAGGCACTCTCAGGCTTTCTCTAGCACCCGGGTAGTCATCTTTACGCTCTTGCTGTTATTAATGCATGTGCTTTGCAAGTGAACTCATGTTTGGCACTGAAAGATATCTGTCTTGATTCAGCTTAGCAACTCTAAATTAATTTAGATGACATGTTTAGGGGATATATATTAAGTGGGAAAATCTCACATTGGAACATAGCAAGAAACATGTGTAACTTAAATATGAGGGTTACTTCATTTATTACTAATTGATTTTAGGTTAGAGGCTCACATTGTGTTTTGGCCTGGAGGTCTAATTTGTACAATATCTATTTAGAAAAGTTTAGAGACCAAAAATTATTCAGGTATTAGTATCCCTTAAATAGTTGTAGCCATGTAGGCAATAATGTTGTTCAAATCCTAGTGATTACTCCCGTGCTTCCTGGCATTGCTTCCACATTTACTTTTGGCAGTGCATTGCATTGACATTAAAGTAAGCAAATAGCTCTCACGTCTGAACTGTACTGCCATTGAAAACATGGCAATGAGCAATTTGTTTGATAAACTACTATCTCTGAAACATTTTGATCATTACGTTTTTGGAACTGTTTTTATATTCTACATTACTGACTTTATATTCATAATCATCGTGCAGATCTCTCCTTGTGATGCAAGGAAAATCTGCAGAGTTTGCAAAATATGCACTTCCATCTATCCGAAAACAACGCATGCTCATTACATTTACCAAGTATCAACCCAGGAAAACCATACCAACTGACAACCAGCGACTTCCTTCACCTGCTGTTGCCCCATCCTGCCAGTGGGGTCCATCTAGCAGATTACCGAATCATGTTCGCCATACTGGTGGGCTCAAGCACTATACTCCCATTTCAGCAACTGGTGTATTACCAGCTCCACCTATTAGGCCGCAACTTCCTCCAAATGGTGTTCAATCTCTGTTCATACCCACTCCAATTACACCTGCAATGCCTTTCCCCACTCCAGTTCCAGTTCCAGTTCCAGTCCCAGCTGGTTCAACCGGGTGGGCAGCTGCACCAAGACATCCCCCACCTCGTCTCCATGTTCCTGGCACTGGAGTTTTCTTACCTCCATCAGGCTCTGGTAACCCATCATCTCCTCAACAGGCAGCAGTTGAAACAAGCTCTACCATGGACACCAGTGCTCCAACAGAGAAAGGGAATGACTCGGGAAAATCCAGTCACAGTACTCCCAAAGAGGAAGTGGATAGAAACACACAACATCAAGACAACAATGAAAGCATAGATGGAACTGTAAGAATGAATAAAGAACAGCAGCAAACAAACTGACTGTAGAAGCAAAGAACCGACCTAGTGCAGTTTAAAAAGAGCAATATTTCTCAAAGGTAAGGATTAATGAAGGTAGGCTGTGAATTTCACTGAGTTTTGAAGCAAATGTAAAGAGCGGCAACATTACCAGGCTTTTGACATTTCATACAAGTAGGGAGAGAGTCAAGGGGTGGAGAAGCTCTGCAGTTTCTCTTTGCCTTCTCTTATGTTCTCTTTTTCTTTGCTTTTTGTTGTATGAACTCTCACCATAGTTGGAAAACTCGATTTAATTCAACTGTGGCTCCTATATCTTGATTAAGAGTTGTCTCGTTACCGTGTCAAACTCTTTTATCTCCAGAAAGCTCATTTTTATTTCCGCGAGAAATTGTAAACCCTGTTTCTCTGCCCTTTTCTTCACTCATTGGACAAATTGGGGTTTGCCAAAAATTTTGTGGCCATTGATTGTATGGTGATGGGGGAAAATTTTTTGTTCAAAATTCGGTTCCAAAATTGTCCCATAAATTAGTATGGTTATTGCCACGTACAAAAGTGTTATATGTTATAGCCACACAAATTTATCATTTTTATTCTTAAATAGTTAGTTATGGTATTTAGATACATCAATTTATTAATTGTTTTTATTTATTAATTAATAAATATCAGTTGTTTTCAAAGTTACTATAGTTATAAAATATTTTTAATTGAATCAATATTTTTCAAAACAAATATTAAAAAACTGTGTGGCCACAACACTTTTGTGTGTGGCACTAATCACAACTTATACATCATTGCTGGCTTAATTTAATGATTGGTCTATTAAATATTAGTTTAATTTTATTTTAGTTTAAAAAGTTAGTTTTCTTTCTAATTAGTCTATAAACTTTGTAAAATATTGTAAAATAGTAAATTATACAAATTTTTTATTAGTTTTAACAAAAAAAATAAAAAAGTTAAACTAAAATTAAAACAGAGTAGTCCTAACTAGTAAAGTAATCCATAATAGACTATGCAAGCTATTGGAACATGTTAATAATTGTAGTTTCTAATATAGAGGATAATTGTTAAAAAAAAAAGTTGAAACAGCATTGATAAAGGTTACAGTTCTTTAGACAATAAAAAAGAGTTTATCTTCCTCATAAAATTAGTTTTATCTTAAAATTAATTTTAAAGAGTAAAAATTCATAAAAGATATAATTGAAGATCAATTTGACTAAATATAGTTAAACTTCTATTAGAAAGGTAACAGACTATATTAAATAAAATAAAAGATAGTAACTGGATTTGAAAATAATTAAAAATAGTAAATGAAAAAATAAATAAATAAAAGTTACTAAACTATTTATTAAATTAAGCCAATCATTGCCTATAAGTATTGTTTTATAGGTGAAAAGGTATATAAGCCCTTACACGTTTTTTTATTATTGAAATCAACTCCCATACCATTTCTGTTGTAAATTGCCCCCTCCAACTTTCTTGTTGAAAGAAATTAACTTTTCTACTTTTTAGTTGAATGAAATAAGATAACCCTAAATTTAACCGCTAACTATTAGAGTTCCTTCATTTTTCTTTGGCAAAATCCAATGTTAAGCTCTTCTCCATTTTTTTTAGATACGTTAAACCATTGGTTGTTTTTTACTTTAACAATTCTTTTATACTTAGATTTTAATGTAGCAATTTTTTTTTATTTAAATACTTACATAAAATAGCTCAAATTTCTCAAAATCAAAAGCAAAACAACTGATTATCATGACACATCAACATATAAGTGTAAAGGAATTGTCATGCAATATTAAAAAAACAATCATAATGACTACTTATCTTACATGACCACATGTGACTTCATTGTTAACGTAAGGGCTAATTTGCCCAAGTCTAGGTGTTTAGGGGCTTCCATGGCTGACTTTGGGTCCATTTTTACACATGGCCAGGCTTATTGTCGACGTAAACTAAATGATCGGGACCCATGTTGACAGTGATAATTTTTTATGACAAAAAAAAAAAAAAAGGTGATGTATTCAACCTTATAAAAAAATATTTTTATAAGATAATTTTTTAAAATAAAATAACTCACAAATATAGTTTAAAAGAAATCTAATATGATGGTGACTATTACAATTTAGAAGACTTTTTAAAAGGAATTGGTGATATTCATTTAAAATATATAAGTTATGTATTATATACTAAATCCGATTATTTGTAAAGAAAACAAAACAATTAAAGGAATCATTCAAAATATATTCCACCAAAAATAAGTACTTTTGTGGAGATTAATCATATGTTGTCTTCCACTGTTGGCTTCTCTATATAAATAATTGGTGTTTACAATTTATATTTGCCTTTTAATAATCTAAATGGCAAATTTTGAAAAGTTAAAACTCTCAGTTTTTTAGCTATGGTTTAGACAATTTGGGTGATCAAAAGTGAAGATATTTTTAAAAATTATCAATGGGATGAGAACAAAGTATTCGAGATGATTTAAGTAAGGTTTTTTGTTTGGTTAAAAGATAGGTTTTAAGGTGTATTATTTTCCTTTTGTGACTAATGCCAATTCTCAATTTTTAATGGTTACTTTTATTTAGCAAATAACTTATATAAGACTACGTCATATATAACTATAGGCTTATGTAAGTGTTGGAGAGTTGCTTGTATTTCAAATAACCAAATTTTTTTCAAAAAACAAATAGAGGCAAATATGATAATTGGGACTTGAAAATATATTCATTTCATAATTTTCTATTCAAATTAAGTTACTATAATTTTATTTTGATAAATTAGTATTAAAAATGTGACTAATTGTACAAAAATAACAAAAAAGGTTGGGTCAACTTGTGACCCATTAGAGTTGGACTAGGGTTAGCAGTCATTGAACCACAACCTGTATCACCTAGCCTGTAAAACCCATGACTTGAGTAAATCCAGCCCAAACCCAACCTAACCCAACCCAACCTGCCTATTTGCCACCTCTAGCAGCAGACTCTCCTTAAACATGGCAAAACAAGGACGCTCATTAATCCTAAAGGAAGAAGACTTAGATTGAGTGCATACCTTATCTAAGTTTTGCATTGATGCCAATCAAAATGGTGCATTATGTGTGGCAACATCTTTGTCACTATTGCATTGAGAAAGTTTCTAACTTTGGTGAGCAAAACTTGAACAAGGATGAAGTCTGTCACCAAATTGCAATTTACAATCAAGTGAATTCTATTTATAGGACAAATGACATGTTTGGAGCAAAATAAACATTGTCCATTAATGGGTAGAATCCACAAGTACACAAAGTTTGGAATCAAGTTAATTTATTATGCATGACTAAAACTAATTATTAAAGTCTAAAATATCTCAAATATTACTTCAGGTCAAATAATCTCCAAATAAATGCTTTTAAGTCAAATTATACAATATTTTCCAACTAGGTCCTCTAACTTTTTAATGTTGACATATAAGTCCAAAAACTAATCTAAGTCATGACTAAGTCCCAACTGAATCTAATTGTAAACCGTCATATGCCTTGATCCCAAGGTCTCTGGCATTGTTACTTGAAATGCTGGACAAGAAAAAACATAAGATCTAATCCTAGTAAGTGAATATTTAGTTCTCCTTTTTATTTTATTTTTAAATAAGCATGTCAACAAGAATTAATCAAGTATGAAGTAAACATGTAAAAGTGTGGGTAATGAAATAGATTTCTCCTTTACAAATCATGACCCGTGTTTATAAACCTTTCACTAGTAGGCAACAAGGTTACTAGTGTATCCTCCCACTAGCAAGATAATAAATATAACAAGAATCAATGGATTCCATAAGTAATAGGTCAACATGCTTTAACGTTTATAAACCTCCTATAAGTAAAACATGACTATATCGAAGACTAAGGATGCATTTGAGATTGCAGTTGTAAGCTTTTTTGTATAGTCATACAGTACTTTTAGATATATGTGTATTTGATAATTTTTTTTAGATTACTTTTTTTAAAAGTTAGAGAAAGTTATAGTAAATCTACAGGTAATTTTATATATAAAGTTTTATTTTGGATTTTTTTAGTTGTAATCATTACAGAAAACACTTAATATTTAATATAATTACAAAATTGTCCATTAAAACCAAATTTTATATAATTTAATTACATCATAATTTATAATATTTTAATAATAATAACAAATCTAAAAAACCTAAATTATTAAAAATAGTAAATATTATCTATTTTAATAATTATATATTTTATAATTTTTTTTTAAGTTTTAATTAATAATTAATAAAATTTACTATATTTTATCCATAATACTTTTAAGACAAAAATAACCAAATATCAAAATAACTTTCAATTACAACTATAACATAATATAGTTTAGTAAAATCAAAACAATTCATAACAATTTCAAACGTATTCTAAAACAAACTAGCAAGTGTATATTAAATAAGCATGCTCATGTCAAGATAAAAATTAGGTATCTCACATATCAAATGGCATGTATCAAGAACTTTTCACAAATAAGCATGCTTAACCAATTAAAACTCAACTTAAATTAAAACAATATTTAATTATGATAATTAAGCAAAATGAGTTTTTCACCACACCACCATTTCAAAAACTAGTAAATTTATGCTTTAAAATTATATTTTAAAACTAGGAACATAACTATAAATTCACTTATCTCAAATAATTAGAAAGAGCAGTTAATTACAAAAAAAAATCCTACAGGTAGGAAGAGCTAACAATTATAAACCTAAGATTTACATTGTGTCACAATAAGTTATAATTAAGAATAATTTACAAATTTCAGATTTACCTTTTAATCCCAATTTATTTTAAATTAATATTTTATTTAATTTTCAACAAGTGTTGACAATTGTTTATTAGCAGAATTAGAATGTTGACACTGCTGTGTCAACCTATAAATCAAAGACCCGGCAGCACCCTCACACATGGGTGCTGCCATACAACGCCCGCGTGGCAGCGCACATGCACCACACGCACATGGGGGCTGTATCGCAGTACCACTGTTCTATTTTTTCATTTTTTTCTTAAATGTAAAATCAGTGCCCGAAATTGGTGCTGCTCAGCACCCATTCGCAGCAACGGGTGCTACATTCGTTGTGGCCGCGACAGGTGCTGTACAATCGCTAGAAAGGTGTGGTCAGATCAAGCCATTCCCTCCCCTAGTCTTGATTCAATAGTTAAGGGTACAAAAAACTCACTAATTAAAATTCAAGAATTATAAGCAAGATTTGAGAGAAGGCCTCCGCAACAAGAAGAACAAGAATTTGGGAGATTTTAAGATCGAGTTTTAGATTTTAAGATCGAGTTTTAGTGCAACAATTTATGAAAATATGGAAAAAAAAAAAAAGGAAGTTAAGTTCTTACCTTTAGGTTTCATGATTGTTGAAAAAAAGAAGAAGAAGAAGAAGAAGATAACCGCTAGTGCAAGGAGGAGCGACTATGGTGTGGGAGAGATCTAGTTTCTAGGAAGGAACTACGGTTGGGTGGCAAAAATTGAGTCTGCCACTCATTCATAAAATAGTAAAAAGGGTACTAATCAAAGGCCATAATTGCCATTTAAACCCATTTAATCCGCTGCATAAATTTCAATTTAATTTTATATTTTAATTTGAATTTTAAATATGTTTACAAATCCCTAAATCTGTAATTTATACCAACATTAATTGGATTCTTACCCATTTAATTACATTAATCCCAGAAATCTTGAAAAATATTTGGGATGCTACAAGTAATTTTTACACTAAAGGACCTTTTTCCGAGGTACCTTACGTTATTGGTTTTGGGATGAACTTTCACCAGCACACCAAGTTTGCAAACGGT